TTGCACGCGCAAAAGAGAAGGTCTGCACACATCCAAAAACATATTTTAAATGCAAAATTAATTTCCGTGCACTCGAAAGACTTTTTTCTTTGTGAAACGAACATTTTCTCCACAAACTCAGATCGCGCGCGTGCAAAATGCACTTTTGTGTGCTCAAAATATGGTCTTTCGCGCGCAGAATTGTGGCAGAAATGTAAGCCCATATGTCAGCTCCCTCCGCCAGACGAGAGCACTCATCCTGTGTTCCTGCAAACTCTGGAGGTCAAAAGCATGGGGATTGATTTTCCCTCCAACTTGTCCCTCCACCAGCAACTCTTATTTCCCACTAGCCCTCACACAAATGTGTTTGTGAGAGAGACCGACAGACAAGGAGGAGACAAGTGTCTGTGTTTGGAGTTTTAGGTTTAATGTGGAAACCTAAACTTAGGTTCTCACTTTCACCCATTACAGGTGAAAGTGAGTTGTCTATCTTATCAGGAATGAAATGACAGGGTTACTAACTCAAAACTAAAATAAAACATTACATTTCAGGCTTTTTTTTTTAAAGAAAATGTTTTTTCATTGGCCGTAAGACTGCATACTACACTTCTCTTTCACCTGTGGCCAGCAGTCATTAGTATGGATTCAATTCTAGTATCAATATCTGAGGTGCTGTGTCAACACAAACGGGCTCTAAGGTGCTGTCGATAGTTTAAAGAGATGTGAAACACTATCTAACACTCAATAATGGGGTTGTTTGCTGACAAATACTGTAAGAAAGGATTATGGAAGCATTCATCTTTTCTTGTCTATAGGGGAAGCGTCTTCCTCTGTACTTGTCTGCAGATGCTGAAGAGGGTGAGGTGTCTGATGACGACAGTGCTGATGAGATTGAAGATGACTTCAAGCTGAAGAATAGCATGGTAAGACTGTAACACACACCGATCAGGATTGAGCACACACATATTTATACACACCCAGCAGAGTGATTTCATTCATATTTTGAACATCAAAATATCAATGTTAACGTTTTACAACTTTACAGTATCGCTGCACTGCTCTGACACAGTCCTATAATAGGACTGTCATTCAGGATTAAATAATGGAGAAACCTGTTCAATAAAACCCTTTACTAAAACTAATTATTTATTTATATGTAGAAGAGTATATAATAAAAAATCCTTATGTGTGGCACTCCTCTATCATTTTGCGTCCAGATAAGTAGTAAACATTTCTAATCTGTCTGTACATTGATATTGTATGTATCAGTGTCAATCCAAATGTACAAAATGCAACTACACAAATACCTTATTAAAATTACAAATAAGATCATGCTGCACTTTTAAATGTTATGTTTTTCACTTTTCCACTACTCAAGCTGTTGTTTCCCTTTTTCCATGTGTTGCTATGCCACCTTCTTTTTCACACGTTATCACCTCCTCTGCATCTCTCTCTGCTTCTATGAAAATCTCTCAGTTTTGATGCAGCCAGTATTTTGTCTGGCTGCTTCCTCACACCATTCTGGCTCACAGTGAGCTGTTGGTGTCAGTCTCTAAAAGCCGATCAATCACAGCCCGAACCCCTGGCGAGCTTCTGTTTGTGTGGAAACACCTCTATATAGGCAGCGGAAAGTCTTTGTGTGACAACTTGGCCATTTGCCAAAAGATCCATCCAGCAGCGCTGCCATTAACAGAGTCTCCTTTACAATCAGTCCAGCGATTTTGTCCAGATTTTGATGCTGGATATTTAACACATTCATTTATTTTTCCCAGACTCATTTATTAATAACAAATTGGTTTCCTATGTAAGAATTTTTTGTCTTCTTTAATGAAGAATGCTTTAATAGCATTTTTATGTATCCTTGCAAAATATTCATGTTGCTTTGTTAGGAGTAATTCATGTTTAATGATCCACTCAGACAAGTCAGTCTTTTGAGCCAATTTAAAGTTTTTTATGCTTCATCTCATTACATGCCTACTTAAATGTGTCAGGAAATGCAAGAAACACACTGCCTCTGCTGTATGTTGAGGGCCATTATGGCTGCTTTTTCTGAGGACAGATTTTAAATTTTCCCGTTCAAACAAAAAACAGAACTGAACCTCTTATTTGCATAATTGGCTTTTATAATACTTAGAACTCATCCTTTATTGCTCTCTCAGATCAGTATGCCAGGCTTTGATTTTTTATAAAATGACTCATGAATAGCCATTGAAATTAAGAGAGAGAGAACACACATCGATTAGGCCTCTTTCACACCGTGCAAGCAGTGCATATTTATTTTGGTACTCATAATAAAAAGTTACAGAATTCATATTGCATGTGTACCCCTGTAAAAAATTGAGTACTTTAAAAAAAAAGAGTACTTATTAAGGAAATTATACTTTAGAAAATGCAACTGAATGTTATGTTTTCAGAGAGTTGGATTTTAAATGCCATTAAATTAAAAGTAAGGACTGTAAGTACATATTTATATGTAATTTCATAATTACAGGTATTGTCTTTGTAATATGATTAAGGTGAACAGCTGAATGCATTTATGGTAAACTAAAATGAAATACTTTACTTTGCTTTAGAATGTTAGTCAGAGGTCAGACTTTACAGCACGACAAAAGATTATTAGAACATAATGATTTAAATATTGGACATTATTAAAAAGTGCAGCTGAGTGATTACTTTTAAGTAAACTTAAGTGGTTTGCAGTACTTCGATGATTTGAAGTATACTAAAAGTTCACATTCAGTAGTTTTAAAAATACTTATTTTTCACAAGGGTAAGCATCATTTTTCTGCATAGCAAAAGTGTACATGGAAGAAAAGTTTCAGTGTTGAGCCTGTTTTTGTCATAGTCATTCGAAAACACATTGAAAATGATCTATAAACCTGTTTATCAAGGGTTTTATGAAGCAACATAAACAAATTTTTTGAGGAAAAAAGGAAAGAGAAAAGTTTGTATCAAGCTTGATGCAAGATAGAGTTTCTGTTCTGTAAATCTGATTTATTAAGGCAGTTAAGAAGTTTATATCTTAAGTTTGCTTTGCGAAGTTCTTCCTAGAAATAATATATGCTATTTTCTTTATTATGCTCTTAAAAAGATTACTTATAAACTGCAGATTTTGACACTCTACTTACTGAATTTCAGTCCAATGGGTCCAGTCAGCAGCAGGTGGAGTCCCACATCAGGAAGAAACTAGACTCACTGATGAAAGAGTCTCAAATCGGGGACAAAGAGGACACGGACAGTTTCTCTATCCGAGCGCTGCTCCGTGCCACCCATGAGGGCATCCAAAGAAACCTGCGCAAGGTAAAGTAGCTCTAACTGTGATTCTACATTCTGAAGTCTGTGTGGTCTCCAAATTCTGTGTAAAGATATAATGTTGCATGAAGCAGCACTTAAAACAACAAGATACAAACCCATTTCAGCCCCTACTGAAATAGGCAGCTCTAAAGAATGAAAGAAAGAAAATGGAAGAATTAGAATACCTAATCACTGCGCACACATTAGTCTTGCAATCCAGAAAAAGACATGGAGCATCCCTTAATTAGCATTCGTTCAGCCTCTTTTCTTGCCCTATTATTAGACTTTGCACTCTCTAAACATTCATTTTGATGTGCCGTTTGTAACGGACAGAGGGATTTTCTCTCCCCTCCTGTGTTCCTGCATAATATTTATGAAAAAAAAAAACCTGAGAGCTGTTTGAGTGAGCGCAGAAATTAAGAGTCTGTCTGGAGATGATTTTAAATCAATGTTGTGTTAATTTTATGCATCTCTGACCGCGTGTCCACAAATACTTATTTGAACAGATTTTGACACTCAAGTCTTTGTGTTAGAATTAGATACCTTTTAAAGAAACAGTTCAATCATAACTGGGAATGAATTACGGATATTGAACGGATATTGTTTTTTTAAGGACTTGGAATATAGTCAATGGCAAGGGCGTTTCTAGGCATAGGCCAGGGGTCCTCAACTCTCGCCCTCGAGGTCCAATTTACTGCATATTTTCACTCCAACCCTAATCAAACACACCTGAACAAGCTAATCAAGGTCTCCAGGATTGCTAGAAAGTTGCAGGCAGGTGAGTTTGATCAAGGTTGGAGCTAAACTCTGCAGGAAAGTGGATCTCGAGGGCCAGAGTTGAGAACCTCTGTCATAGGCAGACAAGATGGTTGACTGGGGTGCCAAGAGGGCGCCAATGAGCACCCCAACACCCCCTGCATTTTAGCAAATAATTTGTGACCCGTGCTGGCAAAATGAGTCAGAATGCACGGAATGTCTAATTTTGAGTGTGAACACACTAATTTTTTATCAAACAATAAAAGAAAAGATAGCTGCTCTTGATTGAACTGCTTTTGTAGTTTTAATAGTCAGTGTATTTGTAATGAACACACTGAAGTGATTTTTAAATTTGATTATTTGTTTTTCTTACTTGAATGCTTTTGTTTAGATGTAAAATGAAAAAGTAATGGACTAGGCCTATTTGTTTCTTTCTTATATTTGTTCTACTGTTGTTGATTTTTGTGCATTTGCTCTTATTTTAATAACAAGGATAAAATAAAATATAAATGCCTATATTGTGATTATTAATATAGTAATTAATATTAAGAAAGGAAGTGGATGAAACAATGCAATGTTGCTAGGTGATTTTGCTTTGAAACCTTCAGAAAACTTCAACTTGATTTTTCTCAGAACTGACTTTGCTGACTTCGTCGACTTCAAAAGTGGATCTCGAGGGCCAGAGTTGAGAACCTCTGTCATAGGCAGACAAGATGGTTGACTGGGGTGCCAAGAGGGCGCCAATGAGCACCCCAACACCCCCTGCATTTTAGCAAATAATTTGTGACCCGTGCTGGCAAAATGAGTCAGAATGCACGGAATGTCTAATTTTGAGTGTGAACACACTAATTTTTTATCAAACAATAAAAGAAAAGATAGCTGCTCTTGATTGAACTGCTTTTGTAGTTTTAATAGTCAGTGTATTTGTAATGAACACACTGAAGTGATTTTTAAATTTGATTATTTGTTTTTCTTACTTGAATGCTTTTGTTTAGATGTAAAATGAAAAAGTAATGGACTAGGCCTATTTGTTTCTTTCTTATATTTGTTCTACTGTTGTTGATTTTTGTGCATTTGCTCTTATTTTAATAACAAGGATAAAATAAAATATAAATGCCTATATTGTGATTATTAATATAGTAATTAATATTAAGAAAGGAAGTGGATGAAACAATGCAATGTTGCTAGGTGATTTTGCTTTGAAACCTTCAGAAAACTTCAACTTGATTTTTCTCAGAACTGACTTTGCTGACTTCGTCGACTTCAAACAGGTGTAGCTCAGTCATTTTTCGTCCGATTCCAGCAAATCATATATCATTTTGAAAGTATTTTAATGTACTAATTTTATATATTTTTATATACTAATATTTTGTATACAAATTTTTATATACTATTTAAAATTAGTATATATATATATATATATATTCAAATGTTATCAGAAATACAATTATTTAGTGTTTACTGAAATTATATAATTTTTAAATGAATGACAGCATCAGCAATATAATGCATGATTTAGTAAACTAGTAATGATTTCCACAACCAAAGCTTTTTTTTTCCCTTAAATTTGTTAATTTATTAATTTAATTTACTTAATTTTATTTAATCCACAGAATGTTGCAAAACTTCTTTTTCTTCCATTCAACAATACATCTTTCATTATTTATTTAAATGTAAATGCATTATTTAAATGCATTACTTATTTCAATGTAAATGTATTTTTATTCAAAACATCTTGCAATTAGTATTTTAAAAAACAAAAATCAATATGAACCAATAGGGAATAATGTAGGGCACCAAAATGGTCGGATACGACCCTGGTCCATGAGTCATATGGAGCACTTTTATGCCATTTATGATGTTTTTTGTCCTTTTTGAAGCTTTGACAGACCCTGGTCACAATCTACTTTTTTTTAAACAACTAAATAGCAGCTTAGACATTTTGTTAAACATCTCATTTTGTGTACTATGCATTTTTTTATTATCTGTGAAATTATTATAATATATTGTGTGTGTGTCTTCCAGAATTCCAAAGATGGAATGAAGAAATCCCAGAGCCGCTCCTTCATTAGCAACCTGAAACACAAGGTCAGAATAAAGACAATCTTTTTCTGTCTTTCTCCCTCTCTCTCGCTCTTTCTTTCCTTCTCTTTCTCCATTTTCTCTGTCTCTGTTGCAGAATCAGGACTATCCTGTTTCCTGTCATCTTTGTGTGTCTGCAGTCTCAAATGTTACACAAATGTGTACTTTTTGCTATCCAGAGGCAGAGAGATTTAAAGAACAATCGCTATTGATTGATAAAAGCATGGAACAGATCATAAAGATGTTTCAGTCCTTCTAATCAGTTATCTGATAGACTTTGAGTATGTTTACATGCACGTTCTTAAACCGATTATGCTTAATAAGCCATTGTCATATAAACACGGTAACCCGTTTTTTTTTTTTTTATCAGAGTAAGGTCATAAACGGTGTAAGCATAAACTGGTCGACACAGGTAGTTTTTTGCCTCTTACCACGATTTCGCGCGGCATGTAAACGCAATAACCCGCTTTCTGTCGGCTATGTGATACGTGACAGGAATGCATCATTAGTGCAGATTTAAGCGCATCTAGACAGAGCAAACATTTTGCAGTAAAGAAAGAAGGAAATATATCACAAAAGCAGACTCTTTCATGACATGAAAATGATTAATGTTCTCATCTCGTGCAGCAGAAGTAGAAGTGGTTCAGTCAAAACGCTGCATTTATAACTACATGAGAGGATAATATGAGCTGTAAGTTTCACGCTCTCATGTTACAAGCTTTATTTAACATCACAACTGACAAACACATGGAGTACTTGCAGTCAGATACGCAAATGTTTATATTTTGACGTCACTAAAGGGAATTAACCTGATTTATTAATAAAGTCATGTAAACACAGCTTACTTGCGTTGTCAGGTTACTGATGTGCATGTAAATGAGGAAACCTGGTTATTTTAATACGCTGATATTTGTGCTCATAGTGCTCATTGCTGCTCTCAGAACAGTGCCAGCAGGCAAATATACTTTTGAGTCTCTTTTATTTTAAGCATATATTTACTGAATTCATACATTGGTTAAACACACCTGTTGACTTGATATCTGATATCGATTTATCCCTCAAGATCACATATGATTGTATACACGGATAATGACAGCTCTGAGCTCATTCTCAGGCATTCTCATGTTTCGTCCTGTGCATAAAAACTCGCTGAACACATTATTAATCTCCATCTCGTATATTGTATCTGGTTGGTATGTAATTCAACACCGCAATAGCAAATCAATGAAGTGAGTAAACAAGGCTTGCGGTCGCATCACCATAAGTTTGATCGTCAGCTATTGTATTGGGCTGTCTAAACTTTATTGATTTTGTATTAAAATGCAATCAGGGCTGTCAGAGTTATGTTGCGGTTTCTCGTCTCCTGTAGATCGCATCTGTCTTCTCTGTCATTGCTACAGGAAGCAGGCAGGCACGCCTCTCGTTTGCGCATGATATTTCCTCCCACTCTCGACATTTGTCTTTGCATGTGTGTTTATGAGGTCTCAAAGGTTCTTCTTTTGTTCGTTAATGAGCCAAAAGCCTGTAATTACTCTAGCAGTTATACACGGCTCCTCGTGGCCCTAAAAAAGTTACATGATTGGGACACTAGTCACGTCTGACATGTATTAATCCTTGCTTACACACAGACTCATGTGGTTATGTTAAGTATGCCCTTTAAAACAGGCCAGAGCTATTCTATTCCTCTCTGTTGTGTGTAGGAGGAATTTCATTACCTCCCATCCAAAGCAAAGGAGTAAACATTCGCTCCATGCACTTATTTAGCTTGCTGTGCGTTTGTGTGTGTTTCCACAGAGGCACTCCAAATCAAGGCTGAAATGTCAGAGTGTTGAGACAGACGATGACGGGCAGCAGGAGCCATCAGGTGGACAGTTTAACAGGTGTGACTGTATTTATGTCAGCTTTTTTGATGGTTTTTAAATTATTAGATTGCTTTTTACATTTCATTTTAGAATTTTCTAAATACCTCATTTACAATTAACCAGTAACGATGGCAAAGCTGATTTTTTTTCAGCAGCCATTGCTCAAGTCTTCAGTGTCACGTGATACTTCAGAAATCATTCTAATATGCTGATTTGGTGCTTTAGAAACATTTTCTGAAGAGGGACAAGCACAGGGCACTATGTTAACAAAAGGTATCACTCCACCACTGCGATTCAGACTTTTGAATCAGTTCTTCATTTCATCATTATTTAATGATTATTGCTACCATGATTGCTAGAAAAGGTGTAAAAACATATACAATTCTAATTACCACCCGCGTTAATTGGCAAATAGACCTGAGTTTTTTTAATAAGTCACTACGATCTACTGTATAATGAGCCTAATTTGCATTGCAGGCGAGTTTGTGCTGAAAAGGTTTACATTGAAATGCATTGAAATAATCGCAAACATGTGGTACAACTGTTTCGTAAATTCACCTCATAATATGGCAGTCATGAAGAGATTGTTAGCGTCTTATGTTAATGAGAATTTGCCATCATTTGCATGCTTAATGGGCTACATTAACACCATGAGGAAAGTCATTTGTAATGAAACCATCACTCTGCAAGGGGCTTTTCTTATCTTTATTTTCACACTGATTTCCTAGTCTAGACATACATGTGCAGTAAGGATGCAGTGAATGATTAAACATGATGCTGTTAGCGTTTGAGCTAATATTTGCATTTCAAACATTTCAAACTGCATGTGAAGTGTTTTAAGATGCATTCAATAATCAGTTATGAGTACATTTTCATTTGTTTATAGTATATTTGAGAGCAGTTTGGGGTTGGTAAGATTTTTTTAATGTTTTGTTATGCTCACCAAAGCTGCATTTATTTGAATAAAAATGCAGTAAATATTGTGAAATATTATGACAACTTAAAATACCTGTTTTCTATTTGAATATATAACATGTAATTTATTCCTGTGATTGCAATGCTGAAAATTCAGCAGCCATTACTGCAGTTTTCAGTGTCACATGATTCTTCAGAAATCATTGTAATATGCTAATTTGTTGCTCAAGAAACATTTCTTATCATTATCAGTGTTGAAAGTCATAGTGCTGCTTAATAGTTTGATGTAAACCGTATTACATTTTTAATTCTATACTGATTAATAAAATGATTTTTGCAGAACATTGTTCTTTTTATGTACTTGTAGTCCATTTGTGTTTGTTTTTATCCATTAAGGTTGTATCTCTGTTGTGTTGGTCTTTGATGTAATTTCCTGTAAAATAAGCTATTTCTTTAGTCACCGTTCCTTCTTATCTTTGTACTGTGTATCTGACCTGGAGCATGCCATTACATCTAATAGCCAGATGTTTCACAAACTGCCTATATTTTGCTGTGTCTCTTTGTAGAGGTGGAAGGAGAAGGAAAACGATAAAGCTGAGTAGAGATCTATCAGATCTGGTGGTGCTCACCAACTCTGTGGCCTCTCAGGAGTGTTTAGATGAGGGTGAGAAATTTTCCTATTCTACCATATCTGATTATTGATCCCTGCTGTCAAGGCTTTGCAATATAGATGTTTAAAAAATAGCTTTCACTATAAAAATATGCCGTGAATGATGTCAACCCACCAATTTCCATTTTCCAGCAAAGGCTGTTTCAAGAACATGCATCTAACCCAAGCTTTCTTGCACCTTCTTTCTCAGGATCGCCCTATAATGTTCTGTCGTTTAGTGAGACACGAGCTCAGCACCCCTTGCACCATCGATCTGAGCGCTTCTTGACTTTCAACCAACGACAGCTCTCTCGGATCTATCCCTCTGCCTACCGGATCGACTCCAGTAACTTTAACCCACAGACGTACTGGAATGTGGGATGCCAACTAGGTGAAGAATGACACACAGACGTCCAAACATTCATGAAATTCACATAGATACAAAGATGCATACATAAAAAAATCTTCATATTTTTTTGCCCATGCATATTTTCAAAGAGAATGAATTGTCTCCCTCATTCATACACTTTGTATATTGACAAACAGTCATTATTGTAGAGTATATCACAGAATGCTTACAAAAAACAAATATCAATATTAATGTGCTAAACATTTCATTTTATTATGTATCTTATATGACAGTGGGTACACTTGTCTAAGCGACAAGCATTCTGTTATGCATATTCAGGATCCATCCATAAAGAAACTTGTGCAGTTCAATTTCAAATTAGTTTCAGTGATTTTTGTAAGCTCACTAACTGGTATGGTGTGTAAAAATTTAGATCCATAAAATCAAAATTGCCAAATGCAGCTATGACCCAGTTGACCCTCTGACCCTACTTTGTCAGTGTATGCGCACATGCTGTGTGTTTTAGCAGTCCCCTCTGTAATGCCATACTGTATGTTCCCTGCTGCGCATACCATCTGGGTCTTGGTTGTGCAGACAAATTGACAGGTTGGCCCACTTGTGCAAGTCATGTAAGAAAATGCACATATGCACTTTTCACATGCACACACAAGCACTATTCATGAGAGAGTGACAGAGCCTTTACATACACAAACACACATACAGTGTGGTGCAAAAGTCAGAGCCTATTAGTGAAAGTGCATTAGTTTTGCATTTCTATAATTTACAGTGGTGGCCAAAATTATTAGAACACTGGTATTTTCACCAGCTAAAAAAATAGTTTTCTTTTGCTGTAGTGTCAGTAGGAAAAATCAGTTTATTTCCAAACATTAATTTTGCCATTAATTGTAATAATCCAGTGAGTCTGACAACAGCCAGTGCTATTCACAGAGATCTGATCTGATCATCATCCAGTCTGTCTGGAATTACATAAAGAAACGTAACAAACTGAGACAGACTAAATCCAGAAGAACTGTGGTAACATCTCCAAGATGCTTCAAGAAACCTACTTGCAAAGCTACAGTACTGTTAAAGTTTTAGGCACTTGTGTAAAAATGCTGTAAAATGAGGATGCTGTCAAAAATAATGTCATGAATAGATTTGCGTTATCAATTAACTTCTATTAACTAAATTAAACATTGCATCCTTTGAGGATGCTGTCAAAAATAATGTCATGAATAGATTTGCGTTATCAATTAACTTCTATTAACTAAATTAAACATTTGGTGTGAGCATCCTTTGCGTTTAAAGCAGCTTTTGCCCAATAGGTGCACTTGCACATAGTTTTTCAGGTAGCTTTGCAGGTAGGTTTCTTGAAGCATCTTGGAGACGTTGCTACAGTTTTTCTGGATTTAGTCTGTCTCAGTTTGTTCTGATCTATTGTAGAAATATAATATATAACTCAGTGTTCATTTTACATAATACTATTTCTTTTTTTTTCATACAATTTTAAGCATTTTGAGTGTGAATGATGAAGCAGCTAACAGAAAAGAAGCAGTGATGAATTATATAGACAAGAAGAAAGAGGGTGAAAACATAAAGTAAATCAGAAATTAAACCAGGACCAAGACAGAAAAAGATGCAAAAGGTGATGCAGAAGCAAATGCAGATGTGTGTGTGTGTGCCATCATAAGGGTCCAATAAACAAGAGTAAATTGGAACTTGTGGAGCCACAGCTGAGTTCTGCCCCCTGATTGTTTATTTAATAAAATGTTTACCAGTCCATGATAAAACCTCATAGTTTGTTAGCCATACCGTTTATTTAGCTTTACACAGCTGAATAAATACATGGAATTATTTGGTTGAAAAACAAAATCCTGAATAAATGAAGGAAGGATGGAAAGATCGAAGGAAATAAAGAAAAATGGACTAAAAAGTAAGGTAATAAAGTTTTGGAAAATAGAATGAAGGTTTTTTTTTTTTTTTTAAACTGACAGTGGCTTTAAACTACCAGACTGATGGCCGTATGATGCAGCTGAACAGAGCCAAGTTCATGGTGAATGGAGTCAGTGGCTATGTGCTCAAACCTGGCCCAATGTGTAAAGGTACACTTGTGCATTCAAAACACTGGTACATCACAATATGTATACCACTCTGTCACTAAAGACTTAACTGTAAGAATTACTTAACACTTAAGTGTCAAGTAATTCTTCAGTTACTCTAGGTATTGTGTTGGACTCTGAAAATCTATTCCAGGCTCCTTCAACCCACTGAATGATGATCCGCTTCCTGCAAATCCGAAGAAACAGTTGGTGATAAAAATCATTAGTGGACAGCAGCTGCCCAAACCTCCCGATTCAATGCTGGGAGACCGTGGTGAGGTAAGCAGGTGACACCTAAGAGTACATTTCCAATCGGATTCAGAGTTGAAATGCAGTTAATACATTTGACGTTCGTGGACTTCATCCATAGATCATTGATCCCTTCGTTGAAGTGGAGATTATTGGTCTTCCGGTGGACTGCTGTAAAGAACAAACCAGAGTTGTGGATGATAATGGTACAGCTTTGTTCTCATGTGTCCAGGGATTTGTTGAATTTATTTGAACAGAAATACAGTTTTGGGGCATTAACACTTGTTAACTTTTTGTGTGATCGTTAATGCAGGATTTAACCCTGTGTGGGAAGAGACTCTGTCTTTCACACTTCACATGCCCGAGGTGGCTCTAGTACGCTTCTTGGTTTGGGATCATGACCCCATTGGACGAGACTTTGTGGGCCAGAGAACCGTAGCTTTCAGCAGTCTTATGCCAGGTATGAGAAATTCTATTTGTGGGTGTCTCTTCAACTATCGGTACTTTTGGACCTGTGGACCTTTAAATGAAATTAAACGGTTTCAACACGTTTCAAATACAATAGTGTATTTAATTTGTCCACTAAAAATGTCCATCAGTAGATATACATGCAATCTTTTTTTTTTTCGGAACTGTTATTTTTGTTTTTTTCTGAATCAATAAATAATGTTAAAATTGTATAATATAATTAATTACAAAATATTTTCACATTGTGCCAATATTGCAGTTGAATGAAAATAACATTTTCTGTTCACAATTGATATTTACCTTTCATCATCATCACAATCATGTTGGTTGCTGTTTGTGTAAAAATATATTGTACATTATATAAATCAATTATATACATTTTAATTAGTTATTTTTATACATATATATAATGGCTTAATTATTTGTTTGTTGTACTTTATGAAACATTATTATATATTATATAATCCAATTATATAGATATTAATGAATTATTTTTATATAATACGTTTATTTATTTATTTTAACCTTCATGTAACAAAATTCCAAAACTGGTGTAATAAATTCAGCCATGGGACATAAAAGTGCCTGTAGTTTAAGAAACAGCTATGTATGTTAAGTGTCACATTATCAGCTGATTAAATAACTGATATAATCCGATTAAAAAGACAAAAAAAGACCATGAGGAGACTGAGATAAACTGAGATGAAGAGCTAAAGAACTAAGGGTCATTAGTAAATAGCATGTAAAGTGTGATAGCAGCAGGTCCCTGTGTCTCGGAGTGGTGTCATGTGAAGCATGTCATTATATTAATGGAGGCCTGAGGTGCTGCCTTTGGACACGTCTGCTGCTGAACTCTCTCTGCCCTCACACGGTCTCACCGAAGGAAGACATGCTTCTGTGCTAAAGCTATGACACCATGTCTTTCTTCCTGTTTTTTTTTTTGTAGTTGCATTTACTCTCTGAATGTTCTCACAAATGCAAATGCCTTTCTTCCATCCCATTTTCAATCATTCCTCCTCTTTTCCACTCCTGCAGGATATAGACACGTTTATTTGGAAGGAATGACAGAGGCATCCATTTTTGTCCATATCACAGTGCATGACATCTATGGGAAGGTGAGCTTATAACTACACAGACAGCAGTACCTAATCAGTCTGATAAAGATCCACAGCCATTTCCACTGGGCATGTTACCAATTTAAATTATATTCACTATTTCTTCATTCATTTAGTAATTAGATCAGTTCCTACCTTAGTAAAAAAGTAATATATTTAAAATCAGGGATTGAAAACAGAAAAAAAAATTTCAAACAGTTCACTCCGAGCAGAATCGATATTTTAACGTTTCTGTTCCTGCGTTCCTCTGTATTATTACCGTTCCGAAACCGGTTCGAGAAGAATAAATACCGGTTAATAACGTTATTATTTAAAAACAAATTTCTTTTTAAAAAAGAAAAGGGAAAAAAAATCTGGTATCTTAACCCGCTGTGCATAGTCACAGCCAATACAGCATTTTGGCCAAATGTAGGCTACTAAATAAAATAAAAAATCTATTAACACTTTAAAGACATTAAAGTATTTTTTAAGATTAAAAATGTTTGCTGCATTGTTAAAAAAATGCTACTTGTATAAGATTGCGTTTTGAGAGTAAAAAAAAAAAACAGCCTAAATCGCGTAGGCTATAGGCTCACGTCGCATTTTATTATTACATTCAGAAATAGGCCTAATGTAGGCTAAAATGCCTATAAAGCAAAATGTTTACAAACATTATAAACACGGATATTAGTTTCTCTCCACAACAAATCCTCTAAAGTTAAGGCTATGCATTTGGGCTATAAAAACTTAAATCCAAAAACTAATTAATTTAAGGTGAAACTAATGCTCTCTTATTCGGCACGAATCCAAATGTTTACATATTCGCTACGTATCTGGATGCTAAAATATTATTTATTATAGGCTAGGCTTTG